TGTACTATGTCTGCAGTCTCTGGTCATCTCCTGTACTATGTCCGCAGTCTCTGGTCATCTCCTGTACTATGTCCGCAGTCTCTGGTCATCTCCTGTAGTTAGTATGTCCATAGTCTCTGGTCATCTGTAGTATGTCCGCAGTCTCTGGTCATTTCCTGAACTATATCTGCAGTCTCTGGTCATTTCCTGTACTATGTCTGCAGTCCATTCGTTCAGAATTTTTTTCTCCTCTAAAATCTAGGTGCATCTTATGGTCAGGTGCGTCTTATGGAGCGAAGAATACGGTACATAGAAATGCCATAGAAATACATTAGATGCAATACGGGTGTGATTTGTAAATCACATGTAGCATCTGAAGTTGCACTAGTGTGAATCAGGGATTAAAGTATAACTAAAGGCAAAACTTTTTTCTTAGTATTGGACAGAGTGTAGATGGATTAGAAAACATTAGGTTATTATTGCTACCTCTGCCCGTTAGGCACACTCATTTTCTCTATTTGTCCTGTTTACCATTATCATTAAAAGTGAAAGTAAAAGAAAATAAATTTTGGGTTGTCCCCAGAACAGCAATAGAGGGGAAACCTTCCAATGAGGACAATAGTTTTGGTAACCTAGGGGGTCCCAAAGGATTACCTTAATTTACAGATTTTCTTGTACTTCCTGTTTTGACTATGGGACAGGAAATGAAGGTAAATCTCCCCAATGGGACACAGATGGAATAAAAAACATAACAGGGGTTATAATGCTCCTTTACTCTATCCAAAATGAAAAAATGTTTTGCCTATAGTTCTCCTATATTCTTATCAGAAAGCTAGTATGTTTCTGTGTCCTTTACACTCTTTCTCTACTGTATTTCTATCAGTTAGCATTGTTCCCAGAGAACACCTCACACTATGGTAAGGAGAAGATAAGATGAAAAGGTGTTCTGTAGTTCTCATATCCTTCTTGTTCTAAAGTGACATTGCTGCTCCTCTATAGATTCATAAATTCAGTGAGTAAGTGTTGTCACACTAGGACAGGAAGTATAATACTGGCAGGGTCACCAGGTAAAAATAAAGGAAAAATTTGTAAAAACAAATAATAGTTTAGCCACCACATAAAAGAACTGGAAAGCTACAATATGGTAAAGCCTAAGGGGTTAATTTACTAAAACTGGAGAGTGCAAAATCTACTGCAGCTGTGCACAGAAACCAATAAGCTTCCAGGTTTTATTGTCAAAGCTTAACTGAACACGCTGAAGCTAGAAGCTGATTGGATACCATGCACAGCTGCACCAGATTTTGCTTTCTCCAGTTTTAGTAAGTCAGCCCCTAAGTGTAGCTAAATTTAAAATCGGAACAATGGGCATAACTTGCAGTCATTAGGATACATCCCTTGTGCTGATTCCACTTCTTTTAGTAGAAATCTTCCTGTGTCCTTGCCCACCGTCACAATCTTCTGGTGAGGCAGGGGTTAACACAACTAAGGGGCTGTCACGGGCTCTCATAAATAGAGTCCAGCTATGCCTGCCCTTTACACCCAGTTACTCCATTCATAGAAGCCATACTACAGTTTCTATGAATAAAACAGGATAGAGTGACAGGGACAAAGGAGAGTTTCATCTAAAATAAGGAAAGCCCAAGGGAAACATCCTACTGACTGTACGTTATGTCCCTTGTGTTTATTTTTCTTTTTTAAATTTTAGCTACATTTAAGCTTTGTATTTTTTTTTTTTCCGAATTAAATACACTTTACCTTATTTAACGCTTTATCTATGTCGCACCCTCTGGTGTGCTACTAGAATAGTGTAGGCAAATCTATTGTATATGACTCATGGTAGCTGTGTGAGTCTGTGATTAAGGTTGGGTTACTGCAGGTCAAGCTGGATGGTTAAACAGGTTGGTACTCTGTCTCCTCCACCTAGTTCTGGAGCACTATTGGAATCTTCCAGAAGCCAGTGGGTGGAAGAGATAGAGACCTAATCTGCATATTTATGGGAGTCTAACCAATCCCATGTTTGGAGGGCCTGGTAGAGTGGTGGACCTGCCCATATGTATGGAAGTGTCAGGCCGGCTAGCGGTGTTGGGTGGAAGATGGAGTGCTGAGGAGACTGTTGATGGCCTTGGAAGGGTCCCCTAGGTCTAGGGGGGGCTGCCTCCAGGCTGGCCTCAGGCTGGCTCAGGAGGGCCCATTCAGCAGTACAAAATGAACTGGATCAAGGCCTGGGAGCAGAGGGAGCAAGAAGGACCGAGTGAGTATATCAGCACACCCAGGGATTTTCAGGGGGAGAGGATGCCACTTGTAGCAAGCTTTCAAAGGACAGTGCTGTGCCTATTCCTTTATCCTTGTCCTGGGAGATATTAAGAGTAGCCAGGAGGGCTGGTAGTGTCTGCAGGCTGTGCAGCTGGAAGCAGTTCTACAGGGGAGACATACCTAAATGAGGTATACAAGTTAAGTTGATTTTCAGAGGGGCTGTGAGTCCCTCTTCTGTAAGGGGCAATTGCTACTGATCTACAAAGACGGACGGCTTTCAAGGAAAAGAACAGTCCAGGATCTGTTTCTGTAAATAGGAAGGGATTTGTTCCTGTGCATTGTTTCAGCAAAGTTGGGCATCCCATAATCCCTATTACCCTATTCAAGTTATTTTCCCCTAATAAATTAACAAAAACCAAGCTCATGGACTGTTCAATGACTGTGGATGCAAGTGTGGAAAATGCATGTTGCCTGGTTTTGCAGAGCTTAGGGGGACCTAGAAACACATCAGCCCTCATGAGGGTAGCTCTACATCTGTAATGGAAATTATGCTGATATCCAATAGGAGGATTGCATCAATACAATTTTACATGCACTACAGTGGTTTAACATGAATATGGCCCAAAGACATTTAGATAAAACAAATAAAATACATGTGAAAAAGCACTGGGATCATTCATGCATGCTTAAAGCTTTTCTAAAGGCAATTTTTTTAAAATTATAATAATAAACATATATTTATAGGTTATACTATGTTTATACTTATCTGCTCTGTGCAAAGTGGCCCCATACATACTACTCTGAGGTCTCCTGCTGGTGCTGCCTGCTCCTTCTCTTTTCTGTCTGCTCCCATAGCAAGAACTTGACACATGTGCCGACTTGATCCTGAGCTGGGCCATGTGTGTCTATTGACACACATGGCACAGCTCGCATCCCCCCAGCTCCTTCTTCTCAAGATTTGATTAACAGCTTTCTGGCACAGCACTGGATTGAGATTGAGCTCAGGTATTTAGGTGGGACTTGGGGGTGCTAAACATGAAAGGTTTTTTAGTACTTTAATACAGAGAATGCAATAAGGCAAAAAAAAAAAACTGTAGCCTTTACAAACCATTGTTTCTAACTTTTATAGGCCCTTGGTACTAGTGGATTGACACAAAACAGATTCTGTGATCACAGGTCTAAATGGGGAGCAAGAAGCTATATCATGGTCAGTAGGTGTAATGACTGCGGATCCTTCTCTAATCAATGACGTACCCAGTTCCAAGTCCACCAACTTCATGACCACATAATATATATTTGTGGCAGCATGAAAAGTTGGCATTAGTGCCCAGCCCCCACACATATCCGTTCTTGGTAGTTTGAGATTGCATACAGAGAGCACCTTTACTGCATACCTCCAGCATACTGACTGCGCAGTTTCTGATGGCTCTTGGTCATGGTTTCTGATCAGGAGCCAGCAGGACGGGCTTTAGATCATGTAACATGTGCAATGCAAGGCAAAGTATATATTTGCCACCAAATCACAGATCATTAAGTATCGTCCGAAAGTTTTATAGAATAATTACATCATAGTGGACCAAATGCAATGTTAAGGAGCCATGCAGAACACTTTTTGCCAGGCATGTAATCACATGTCTGATAAGGAGGTCCTGCGTGGCTCCGAAAAGTTGCGCTGTTATTGCAGTACCCGCTACTTCTGAGCCCATTCCAGGAACGTGTGCAGTAGGACTATTGTCATTATGCTGTTAGAACCAATCACAGTGATCATATGATTGGAAAACCACCACTCGTCCTGAAATTAGAGCCCACTGTAGCCATCGGGAAGGGTTTAACATATGTTTTTAATACTGGCCTTAGGGATAAGTGTCAATTTGCAATTGGTCAGCTCCTGCCTTGGAAACACATTGTAAAAAAGAGAGGGATCGGTGCAGCGCTAGAATTTATGAAAACATAAAATAAATACTCAATATATATGTCCTAAGCAAAAAAGCAAAGGCAGATAAAGAAAAAGTAGAAAAAAATAAAAATGCAATACACTATTAAGTCAATAATAGCAAAGCACACAATAGTCCAATTCCCATGTAAATTGCTGTAAGGGATGTGTTGCGGTTCAGAGGTAGAGGTCCTTAAAACAAATAGATTGCGCACTCACCAGAAGTGCGTATAAAATACGCATGTAGAGAGATATAAATCTTCAAAAACATCTCGGTCAATACGGTTCTGGTCAGGTCGCACTCTACATCATCCTCCGTCCCACCGTAATCATCAATTACCAGGGTTCAGTATGGGTGTCAGAAATCCCCTTGATCCAACCAGGCACTGTGGAAGGTGGTGCTCTCAAAGAGAGCCCAATAAGGGACGCCACATAGTGTAATGTTGTATAAACAGGTTTATTCTCAAAATGAGGTAGAATAAAGGATGCTACTGACCATAAATTAGTTGGCCACATGTAGTGGCTAGATGTCCATGTGCTGTAGCCCCCCTGACGCGTTTCGTGCGATGCACGTTCTCAAATGGTGCAAGCCCTGCACCCTTTGAGAACGTGCATCGCACAAAACGCGTGGCAGCCAGAATTATTGTTGGTTGGTAGGCGATCAAATATTATTTTACTCACTGAACTGCAACTCAGTTTATAACATTTGTATCTTGCGTTTTTTCTGGATTTTTCTTTAATATTATGTCTCTATCATTTAACCGCTTCCTGTCCGCCCTATAGCAGAAATACTTCTACAGGGCGGCATGGGTGCGCAAAATCACGTACATATACTTGATTTTGCATTTCCAGGTACCCCTGCCGCCATTTGCGGCCATGGCCGTCAATCACCGGGTCCTGGTGATTTCTGACAATCTCTGATAGGGAGGAGAACTGTTTTGTTTACTAACAGTTCTCCTCCCTGTCAGCTCAGGCACACTGCTTTGGATGGCACAGCCATGCAAAGCAGTGTGCTTACAGTGAAGCACATGGACACAGCCCCCTAGTAAAACACTCTCAGCACACAATTAACCCTTTGATCGCCCCACATGTTAACCCCTTCTTGCCCAGTCCCATTAGTACAGTGTCAGTGCTTTTTTTTTAGCACTGATCACTGTTTTGGTGTCACTGGGGATGTCAGTGACACCAAGTCATTTCCCCCCAGTGTCAGAATACCCGCCACAGTCCCACTGTAAGTTGCTGATCACCGCCATTACTAGTAAAAATTATTAAAAAAAAAATTCCAGTATCTAAACCACCATTTGTAAAAGCTAAAACTTTCATGTAAGCCATTTAATTTACACATATTAGGATTTTTTAGCAAAGACATGTAGCAGAATACATTTTGGCCTAAATTTATGACGCAATTTTATTTTCTAAATTTTTTTACTGGACATGTTTAATAGCAAAAAGTCAAAAATATAGTTGTTTTTCTCAAAATTGTCGGTCTTGCTATTGTCGGAGGCAATAAAATACCACCGAAAGAAAGCTCAATTCATGGGAAAAAAAAGGTCTTAAATTTAATTTGGATTCAGCATTGATAAAGCAACACAGCGCCGTAACGCAAAAAAATGGCCTGGTCAGGAAGGGGGGGGGGGGGGGGGAATCCTCAGGAGGGCAAGTGGTTAAAATACACCTATGATAAAAATTATACCCTTCATTTCTTTGTAGATGTGCAAACTTACAAAATATGCACTGTATATGTTGCCCCATGGAAAAAGCCCACTTCTTTAGGGCTGTATATATGCATACTGTTGGTGTGAAGTGGTTAAATAATGTTTTTTTTTTGCATGGTTGGGGGGTGTATCCTATGCCTACATACTGTTGCTAATAGGTGTCCCTCATTCCCATCTCAGAAAGTTGGGAGGTATGGAATTGTCAGGTCTCATAGTTCCTCTCCTGAGAGGAGCATACCGACTAGTACCTTTTAGTTTTGTGGAAAGACTTTGAGTTAAGTAGTTCCTCTACTGAGAGGTACATACGTTAGTCTCCTCTAGTTTCTTATGGGAGGACTGTCCTGTAAAGCTAGGTCAAGTAGTTCCCTTCCTAAGGAGTTCATACCTCTGGCCTCTATTAGTCTCTCACAGGAAGATTTTGTTTTGAGCTGAGCAGAAGAACTGTCCTTAAGGTTTGCAACACAGAGAAGAGTGCCCTCTTGTTTATGTGGTTCTAGAGTACCTCATACTACCCTATCCAAGTTATTTAACTACAGAAAGACATCTCCTAGACCGCTCTTTGTATCAGTGTGCCTTAAATGTGCTCTGTGTGTGCTGGCAGCCTCCACACTAGTGAGGGAGAACTTTGGTCATCATCATCATCTGTGAAGGAGTCAACCACAAGTTCTCTGGAGGGGTAATTACAGGTGTATTATGATAAACCACATCTTTTAAAAACACCTACTGTTCTCCATGCCCCCAAATCAATGTGGCACAAAGGGCACACTTTATTTTATACTCCTTCTTTAGCCCAAAGAAAACTATCCCTACTGGGAAAGTACAAATTGGTTGTGTTTGCTCCACAGACCAAAGGTTCCAAGCCTTCCTCTAATGTTACTGTTTATTAATGTACTCTTCAAAGAAATATTATTATTATACAGTATTTATAAAGTGCCAATAGTTCGCTTAGCGCTGTACATTACAAAGGGGGACAGAACATGTGACAGAACAATACCAATACAATGCAAAACATGAGGGGATTGAGGGCCCTGCTCTTTCGAGCTTACAATCTAGGAGGAGGAAATATACATGATGTTCAGAATAAAAGAAAACGGCAACACCTTGGATGTTACTGGGACAAGAAATGAGAAGTAATGTAATGTACCCAGCATGGACACAGACAGCAATAAAACCCTGACAGAGGATATAGCCCTCCTCTACTCTATCCAAAACTAGAAAAACTCATTGTTTGGAGTTAAGCTTTTCTTGAAAACAGAGGGGCAACAACTGATCAAGTCATTGATATACAGTAACTGAATTTTGGTAGTGTTCATCTTGTGATCTCTGTTGTGTGTTTTGTACTATGCAGTTATTTTGTGGTTTTTATTTAAGCTGCAATCTCCTGCCTCATTCTAAAAATGTAGTTTGGTAAAGTTAAACACTATGAAGTTACTTCAAAAGAATCTTTAACATGTGGCTTTTAGTGTGGAATTGTATATATTTATGTGTAGAGTTACAGTTTATATATGCCAAGGATTATTTGGTAGACAAATGGTTGGGGTTTAGTAGACACTCATACTCTATCGACACCTTACTTTAAAAAAATACATTTAAGGTAGAACTCTGCATTCCTGTCAGTAGTGGTTTACTTACATTATAAATACTACTGTGAACTACAATATCTGGATAGTACACTCGTGCAGGCTTTTGAAGGTTGTGTTAGGACTTGCTCACACTGATGGCTATTATTGCACCCCCTCTGAAAAATGATCCGCAGTGGATCTTTTTTTCATAGGGCATTTGGCAGATAGTGTGGAGGCGATATGTCACCTCTTCACCACCTGTTTTAACCCTCAAAATGCCAACCCATTACTGTTTAGTGTGGATGGAGGAATCTGTGAGATTTATTTTATTCAGTCTGCAGACTGAACGAAAATAATCTAACAGTGTATGGCCAACTTAAAACTGATAAGAGCAGCAACATACTTACTTTTCATTTGGAGCAGTTGTCCTTGGAGTCTGACTTTAAAGAAGCCCTGTTACCGGACCATTCATTTTAACATCAATCTTTCCATAAGATTTTATGTACATTCAATGAGGGTTATTTACTAAAACTGCATGGTGCAAAATCTGGTGCAGCTCTGCACAGAAACAAATCAGCTTCCAGATTTTTTTGCCAAAAGCTTAATTGAACAAGCTGAAGTTAGAAGCTCATTGGCTACCATGCACGGCTGCACCAGATTCTAGGTGCACCAGTTTTAGTAAATCTCCCCCAAAGTATTCAGGCATTTTTTTTTACCTGTAAAAGCTTCTGTTGTGTAGACATCCAAAAGCCTTATGACTGCTGCTCTGTGTCACCATCTTGCATGTGATGTCAGCAGCTCAGCAGACTCAAAGCTATAATTGAAGTAACACCTTATACTAGTATTCCCCTTCACTCCTCCCCCAGCAGCTACAAAAAAGGTTATGTAGGTAAGTGAGGGGAAAGTGGAGTAGCTTGGCCAGCACAGACAGTAATTGGACACTACCATAAGAGGAAAGGGTTATAACATGGCAGGAGGAAGGGTCAATTGTGGCTGTGCTAGTAAAATGGCTCTTCCTGAAGAAATCAAGTTTGCAATTTAAAATGCAGATTGCAAGTGCATAAAATAATATTCATGGAAAGGAAAACTGCTGCAAATAAGCAATTAAAATACTTTTACCTGACATTTTTAGGTTGGTGACAGGGTCCATTTAACTTTAGAGGATAGTAGGCATCATGATGGACAACAAGATGAAGTCTGTTTCTGTCTTCAGGTGCAATTCAAGGAACAACAGTAAAAAATCTGTTTCAGTGTACATTGTGGAGATTTCCACTCGCCTCCTGTACTGCATAATAAGCATGACCAAGACTGAAAAAAGTGTGAAACATCTTCCTACGGTGATTATAAAAACCAAAAAAAATAAAAAAGTGAAGCTAGGTCAAATAGAGTTTCCTCCAGTGGTAACATTTCAAATCTCTATATTTAATACAATAGAAAAGTAATGGATGATAAACTTGTAAATTTATGAAACTAACATTATAAATAATTTTAAAAATATAGGGATCGATCAAAATAATCCAAAATGTCTCTTTAAAAGCTAAGTCCACCTTGGATTTTTTGTAAATAAGCCTGCACAGCATTGCAACCACGAGCAGCTCTCTGTCCAAACTGTGATAAGTACCTTCCAATTACAGAGCTGAAGGAAAAGTCAATGGACTATGAGTGGGCTGACCACCACACTCGAACTCCATTGAGAACTACAAATCTGTCTTCCATGGTGGCAGACGGGACTTGTAGTTCATACATTCACAGATATGTGAATGACATAACCACATAGGTAAAAAGATGGAACAATGTACTACATATACTTTTTTCACATGAGGGACAGAACACTGTAATAAAAAATTGAATGAGACTTCTTCTTTAGAAAAAAATAAATCCTCACAAATCACAAAAGTTGACAGTGGATTGTCTTAGCTGCTAAATTTCCTTGATTTCTAAATTAAACCTGAGTCTATGCTGCTACAGGTTAAGAAAGTGTAAAGTCACACACAGAGTTCAGGGGTCAAGATTAAGTACTGCACTAAGTTCAGGGGTCAGGAGTAAGTAATGCACAGAGTTCAAGGGTCAGGATTAAGTAACACCCAGATTACAGGGGCCAGGATTAGGTAATGCACAGAGTTCAGGGGTAACAAACGGTTACTGTATAGAGTACATGGCTCAGGAGTGAATAACAGGGGTCAATAGCATGTAATGGAGAAAGTACAGGGGTCACAAGCACATACTGCACAGACCAGTGTACAGAGCACAACCAAAAATTACCCCAAATTCCCAGTACAAATCCCCCTTTCCCCAAGCCCGTAGTCCCCCAGTACAGGTTTCCCCTCACAGCCCCAAATCCCTACCCAGTACGGGTTTCTCCCCACAGCCCTATACCCCCTTCAGCTCAGACCCCTCTTCTAGCCCCTTCTCAGTACATACTCCACATTCCTCCGGTCCAGCCCCCCTCCTTCTCCAGGCAGTATAGACGCCCTCAAGTACATACACTCTTCATCTCCACCAGCAGAGACACACCATTCAGTACAGACCCCCCTCCATGTCCACGGGTACAAACCCCACCTACTCTGTAAGGTTGCCACCTCATCCCTTTAAAACTGAACACACATTAATGACAGAGGTTCAGAGGCTAATTTAATGCAGACAAGGCGCTAAGTGAGTTTAAATACCACCTTAATCAGCCACAGAACCTGTGCAATTATTATGTGTTTGGTTTTAAAGGGATGAGGGTGGCAATCCTACTACTCCAGTACAGGCCCCTTCCCTCCAGACCAGTACAGAACTCCCTCCAGTACAAACCCCCACCCCTCCAGTACAGACATCCTCCCTCCTCAACAGCAACAGGAAGTCCTCCCCTCTGCTGTGTAATGTGACTGAAGCCAAGGAGGACCTTCCCTTGTTTACCTTATGAATGAGCTGGATGCTTCAGTTTCTTAGTTTCTCTCGTTTGCTATGAGAAATAAACTCTTTACTCTTTAAGGACAGTATTTC